GAATTCCTGTACTTTCCCTCTCAGTGCTAGCTGATTGATTGGCTTCTTGCGTATCAGTTTCTGTCGTTCCTTCTTCAAGTCTAGGCGAATTCGAGACCATACCATTCTATGGTCACTGCATCGTACCTTGCCAATCACTTCCACATCCTGCACGATTACAGGATGTGCACTCGTTACAAAGTCTATTTCGTTCTTATTTTCGCCATTAGGGCTCCTCCATGTCCACTTGCGGTTTTCTCGTTTTTGGTAGAAGGTATTCAAAATCCGTAAATTATTGCGTTCTGCGAATTCTACTAGTAGCTCTCCTCTGGCGTTTATAGTACCGATGCCATAATCTCCTACTGCCTGGTCTCCAGCCTGTTTCTTCCCTACCTTTGCTATAAAATCGCCCATCACTATAGTATACTGTGTTTTTACCTTACTCATTGCCGATTCCACGTCTTCATAGAAGCTTTCAACTGAAGCGTCATCATGGCTGGATGTAGGCGCGTAAGCATGTACTACCTTCATCTTGTATCTTTTATTCAGTTTAATTACGATACCTAACACCCTTTCATTAATGCTATAGTATTCATCTATGTTGCCAGCTATGTTTCTGTGAATTAGGAACCCCACTCCCAGTTCTCTTCTGTCTGTCAAGCCCCTGTAGCAAAGGACGTGCCCATTCTGTAGCACTGTATAGGCCTCATCTGTCCTCCTAACCTCACTGAGCCCTATTATATCCCATTTAACACTCTCTAGCTCCTCGAATAATACAGCTAGACTTCCCTCACTAGATAAGGTTCTAGCGTTAAACGTTGCCAAGTTCAGGTTCCAACGGCGGCCTGTCCGGATCCAGAGATTCTTAGCACCCTCTGCTGCGTTGCAGATCTGACCGCCGCCGATAGTTGTATATAAATTTGGCTAAATCCTTTCCGCGATAATTCGTTGTAGTGCTACCCCAGAGAGGATGATGTGCATTAAAATCGCCGATCACAATGTATGGCCTTTGTGCTGCTTGAAGAATGATCCCTAGGTGGAAGCAGTCCATCTGTGCGCTTGGGTGTATGTATCCTCCTATTACGGAAAATGTTCGCTTTTTATGTGTTATCGTCAGGCTCACGTAATTATTGATGGTATGCGACGCGACTTCATGTCTCAAGAATGTCAAATCACGGCGTATACAAACGAGAACTTTGCTCGTACGTTGATCACTGCGGGACCAAATCTGGATATATCGAGATATACGAAAAGGTGAAAACATATTCGGTTCACACATAACGATAACAGGAAATTGATATTTAAAAACCCATTGTCTGAAGACTGACAGACGGCCACGTAGGCCACGAGCATTCCATTGCATAACAAGCGACTGGCGCATGCGTTCTTCGAACATCAGTGCTATGTTCACTTACTGAAGAACCAGTAGAAGAGGCTCCAAAACCTCAAGTAACTGCACAGCCGCCTTAGCAGCGGGAGTGTTTAGGCTGCTGAGAATCTTATACATCGAGCCCATCAAATTTTTAAGCATAGCCTTGACATCTGTGTTGTCCATCTTCTTTTCTTCATTGGAGGTAGGGGCACTATGTGATGATGGCGCTACCGTAGCTCTTGACGGTAGTGAAGGCCACTGAGTCTCCGACGTGGGGAGAGCCAATGACTGGTTACATTGTACTTGCGTGGACTGTATTGGCATTTGAGCATCTGTGTCCTCCTTTCTGGCCGACAAAAGTAGGCTAGGAGAAGGTGAAGGCACGGTTTTGTGTGTCGAATTCGATAAGCTATGAGCACTGCTGCTTCGTTTGCGTCGATGTCGCGAACGATGTTTACGGCGCCGTACAGCCCTTGCAGCTTCTCTGTGAGTGGAGTGGTCTCGAACCATCTTCTTCAGGATACTAATTTCATTCCTAATTTTGGGACATTCCTTTGATGTTGCGTCGTGGGCGCCTGAGCAGTTTGGGCATTTGGCCACAGCATTGCAGGTATTACCATCGTGAGTGCCACCGCAATGCTTGCAGGTTACTGCACCCTTGCAAACTGCACTAACTTGCCCAAATTTTATGCATTTATGGCATTGCAGAGGTTTTGGTTCGTAAGGACGTACCGAGTGCCTCACGTAGCCAACTTTTACATGTGTGGGTAACGTCTTCGATTGAAACACTACTTTAACACATCGCGTGCGTCCAAAGCGGTGAAAGCCAAGCACGGGAGCCGACGATGACAGCAGTTTCTCGAGACTCGAGTCTGTTATCTCCTCATCCACGTCGTATATAACTCCTGTTGTTGTTTCTTTGTCGTACGCGGAGAATGCGCGAACCGGAATATTTCCTAATCGAACAATCACTTTCAGCGTGTCCATTAAGGCCTTCGTAGTGACCTCCACGGACAGTATGTTCTTTCGGGTATTTATGCGTATTTCTACGACTTTCCCTGGAGCGATGAGCTCAAAGTACTCTGTCAGGCTCTGCCTATTTCGAGAGTTCAAGATGGCTGTCTTCGATGTCGGCACACACGAAATGGTGTACGACCGCATGCTACTCGCCTTTGTCTGTGCTTGCCGGCTAGTGGGCGATGTCCGGCTGATTTTCCTCTCCAGGCATCGGCTTGGTACGACCACGTAGTCGCTGTCCGAAGCCATATCTTCAACGGAGGAGTCATCAGAATTGTCATCGTGGGCCCCGCTTGGGCCGGGGTGAGAACTTGCGTCAGACGCACTATGATGTGGTCGGCCCGGTCCCGGTTGCTGGATGGGGTTTTGATCCCCCATTCTAAGGGGCAACGCCCTTTCGAGGTGTGTGTGTCGATTATTCAAAAATCTTGGCAAAAGAATTAGGAAACTCACACAGCTCGAAGCAGTGGCTGTTCTCTGTGACAACTTCTTCTTCTCCCGCTGCTACGTAGCCTCCGCTGCTACGTAGCCTCCACAGTCACCATAGGCACTGCGCCATGCTCCCGACGGGGCTGCAGAAATTAGCTGCCTTTCGGGTATTTATGCGTATTTCTACGACTTTCCCTGGAGCGATGAGCTCAAAGTACTCTGTCAGGCTCTGCCTATTTAGAGAGTTCAAGATGTCTTATAACCACTACCACCACAACTAGTCATCCCTGAGGAAGGGACCAAGTCAGTTCTGAAACGTCGGGTTTCGTCAAAACTTGTGGTTGGAGTCTTTATCAGATCCCAGTTTCATACCCAACCAGACAGGCTTCTGTCAAATGTTTGCATTTAAGTCATGTAGTTTTGTACTTTGTATATTAAGAATAAAACTCTCTGAGGCACGATTTCATGGCCTACCAGAGCGAATAGAATATGAAAACACTTAAATTAGTTGAACCGTTTGTATTCGCTGTGCTCCTGAAACTACAAATATTTATTCAAGTCTTAAAGTGTGATCCGCAATAATGAAACAAGTGTGATGAGGGACCCTGCGTGATTGTTAAAACGTATGTACAATGAAAGAAACTAGCACGTTCGTATGGTTGTTATTTCACAGCTGTTTCTTTTTCATCATTGCTCTATTTCGGAATCATAATTAAAGGTGCTTTGATTTCGCCACCACGTGCACGTATTATAATAATTCCTCAATAAATAATAATAATAATAATAATAATAATAATAATAATAATAATAATAATAATAATAATAATAATAATAATAATAATAATAATATTGCATTGAGCCCTAATTGGAGCACCACATAGGCGCAGGCCAGCCTCAAAGCCTGGGCCTGGCCGTCCTTAGTGTTTTCCGGTGGACCAGCACTGGGATCAGGCTTGAAAGAGCGGACTGAATTCGGGCCTGCTCACTCAATAGCCCAAGATGAACTTTCTAGCACAGGCGAAGGTGTGCATTGCGTGGTGCAAGGCATTCTGGGCAAGTTGATGCGACTTATGCAAAGAGCTGGCTCTTAGTAAAACTCAGAAAAGAAAATAGAAAAATAGTTGAAGTTTTACTTTTCCACAAAAAATGAACACGGCTTCAGCGTGATAAAAATGAATTACTCAAAAAACCGCTTCACAAGCAGTTTCTCCTTTACCAGTATTGCGATTACACTCAACACTACTACAATATTGTAAGCCTAATTCCAAGAATATAATATATCTATGATGGTGCGCTTATTCGGAGCTGTATTCTCATGAATTCACCTGTGTATGTACATATTACGCGACATACAACTGCGGCGCACACCGTGATGGGTACCGGATTAGCTTCGACTACCTGGAGTTGATTACGTGCACTATAGATAAGTACACGGGTGCTCTTGCGTTTCGACACAATCAAAATGCAGCCGCTGTGGCTGCGAGAATCGCACCCACGCCCTACTACTTAACTGCGAAACAGCTTAACCGCTGAGCTTTCGTCACAGGCAAAGCATCATTTCGATTCATGCACACACCCGAATTTGTGACCGATAGCCCACTACAACGTGTAAGGCCTCATACTTACTCGCAATCAACAACTAATATCATCTAACGGGCCCGGCCCTGGCCAGGTCATGAACACACGCGCTCTGTATAAGTTCAATAGAACACCTGGGCCCGGATTGGGCTTGGGACTACGGGTCCGGGCTTGGCTCAGACTTCATAAAATGGGCACGGGCCTAGCCAGGGCCAAAAAATCTGGTTCAAGCAGTGCTCAAGGCCTTATAACTGCAAATTGTCAACTTGGCTGCTACCATAACTTAGTTTTCTAATATAATACCTAGATACTGAGGAATCGTATGTCTTTATTGGAAGTACTTATCATTGTACATACTATAGAGGCCTGCGTATTTGTCATATGAGTGCACTTGATACAGCATGAATGGTCAACGTTTCCGGAACTCTGCACTAGGGCGCATGATAACGGTATCGTGTTTCTGACACGTAAACATAAAATACTCTGATAACTATTATGATTTGTACAAGCTAGCTGCTTCTTATCGTTACCTTTGCTGACAACCACCGGTAACGCGCCCAGTGTAACAGAAATAATATTGTAGGAGATAATTTCATAAAATATGCAGCCTATATTTTCAGTCTATCCATTACGACAGCCCTACAGCTTTATCGCCGGGCGAGCACAGGTCTTATCGTCTCTGATAGGGCCTACTTTGAGCTGGCTCATGGTGGTATTGTTTCAAGCTTGCAGAGAGCCCGCTTGTGCACTTATCAGCGGCCGCATGGGACAGCGAGACATGCAATCGGCGTCGTTCATAACTGGCGTGGCGTTCATTTGTAAGTAACTTGACTTTTTCTACGCATAAAGCTTTACTCACACGCCACCGTCTCATAAAAGCTGCTCTATTTATGGCAACTCGTCTTAGAATCTCGCTGCTAAACAAGAGGACGTGGGTTCAGTTTCTGGTCATGGCAGCCGCATTTCAATTGTGGTGAAATTGGAATGCTGGTTTATTTGCGCTTCAAGAAATCGAAGAGGTTTAACTTACTGAGTTGAAGCTGTAGTAGATTAATTAGGAGCACGCGGTGAGGATGGTCGCTACCTGCGCGGTAGCAATAACATCTCGAGCCACGGAGCATGCGCGCACAAAGCCCGCATCAGTAACGAATCATAACGTACCAGTATGGTCAGCTGTCACTTTCACCTGCTAGTTTTTTGCACTACGGGTTCCGTGAGTTTGTTCATGCTGTAGCTCAGAAATTTGAGACAAATCAGTGTTTCACGGTGGTTACCGCTTTTCCCCGCCCTGGTTAGATTCTCTAGCCAGTAGAATGACTGTTGAAGAAAAGAAAACGGTACCAACAGAAATAACTTTGCAGTCGTTTTAAAACTTTTCAGAAAACAATAATGGCAAAGCTGTTTACATGCTCATGGGATAAATGAACTGTTTCGGACAGGCTGAGGCTTTCTTAAAGCAAAACTGTTGTGCTCTAGGTTTGCCATTTTTCGTAAATAGATTAAAAAATATTCATAATCATGAACGGACACGTGCTCACTCACAACGAAAGCACTCTTCGTCATTTTCGTCATATTTCTTAAAAGATGGCGAAAATCATCATCATCATCATCATCATCATCATCATAATCATCAGCTGGTGTTGGTGTACTGCAGGACGAATGATCCCTAGTTCGAGCGGATTTTAACATGATAGAGGTTATGAGCTCACTTCGCCGAAATTCCAGCGTCATCATAATCATCATCATCAGCAGCAGCTGGTGTTGGTCTACTGCAAAACGAATGATCCCTAGTTCAAGCGGATTTTAACATGATAGAGGCAATGAGCTCACTTCGCCGAAATTCCGGCGTTGGTGTTGCGCCGGCGTGGTTTGTTGTGAGAGAAAAAGTTATCATATTTTGTGAACGAAAAATTGAAAAAGATTCAAATAAAATAAATATTTATCGGTGTTAGGGTGGATCAAACACGGGTCAATTGCGCAGAAGCGGGTGTACCCGTTCTACCATACAGCCAACCTTCTTTTTGTCAATTCAGTGAAAATAATCTCCTCTGCTTGAAAATGCAGTAACTTTCATGCTCAACAGACACACGTCGTGCATACAAGCTTCACAATACAGCATGAAATGTTGCCGTATAGTGCGGGGTACAGGCGTGCATTGCCATCGGGTGTCAAAAGTTGGGATTGTTATAATGACTTCATAGGTTAAAGCCAGTTACCCACTAGAAAAGGCACACATTCTACTGCATTGTAAAGGCCACATACGGGGAGCATGGAAAGTTCAAGATTTCACACACTGAGTGTTTAAAGTATTCACTAGAACCGGAATATCAATATCGCGTTCAACTTCTAAAGGAGAAGCTTAAGAGACCCGAATTGCTTACCCAGTGTTTTCCGCTTAGGATACAGCCTTAAAGGCAGCGTCTGTCTATTCTTTAGGAATTAGAAACTTTTCGCGTTTATTTTTCACGCCCTCCCGCCATGTATATCTCAACGTAAGAAGCACATGGAAGTAGCCGATTAGTCGAAAAACAGGTGCGCGCAACTCGTCCGTTTACAGGAAGTGTCAAAGTGGGGGTGCGAACACTCGAAATCAGCAAACATACGACATTGCCGACACTTTAAAACCAACAATGTCAATATCGAGCGTGACAGGAAGAAGTTAAGAGGGAACACATGCATGAGAAGGAGGGTTATTCAAGGCACTAATCCGGCATAAGCTCGCAAGGTCAGAAGTTCAAAACAACGTAGGGTGATTTTTTGAGGAATAATAGATTTTCAGGCAGTTAAGGAAAGAAGGCAAGGTGAGTGACGAGTCAGGTGAGTTTGGAGTTGAGGCGGTCAGGTGGTATTCTAACAATACTGAATGTAGGCCTAGTGGGTACTTGCTTACTGACATGCTTTGGCCGCAAGTAACACGCACACACAAAGTAAAATTCTACATTGCTAAGAAAGTACAACACAGCCCCCTACATAGAGATAGTGCAGCTGCCTAGCATACCATGAAAAAACTCGGATCGAATGGATATTTCGGACCAATGCCAATCGTATATTTACTCAAAATACGTGAGGAAGGAATCGTTAAAAACTAAGAAAAAAAGAGGTATGGTGTGCTGCCTCACTGTCGACCAGCTGCCAGTAATGCACTTCCTCACCAGAGCAGGATTGGCCACCCTGTTGCAGTACCTGGCCACAACCACCCATGAACACAGCAATTAATCCTTGGCCCTCAATCCCCAGCGGCCGCGAACAACTGTCGTATTGGGTGGTCAGATCTGTTACGCAGCGGAGGGTGCTAAGACTCCCTGGGTCCGGAGAGGCCACCACTGGAATCGGAACTTGACAATCTTCAAAGCTTGAACGCTATCTAGGGGGGCCAGTCTGGCTGTGCAACCCGAGGAATCAGAGGGTATTAAATGGGGTGTAATGGGGCTCAGCGAAGTTAGGATAACACGTGAGGCTAATACAGTGCTGAAGAATGGACACGTCCTATGCTCCCGTGGATTAGTTGACAAAAAGAACTAGGATAGGAGTTTCTCATACACATTATTATCGGTTGCAATCTAGAGGAATACTATAGTCTAGCTGAGAGAGTGACAAGTATCATAATCAAGTTCAACAAAAGGTATGAGATGAAGGTGGTGCGGCCTACGCATCCACATCGAGCTATGATGGTTGAACGCCTCAGCCATTATTAAAGTCAGCCATTAACAAAGTAAAGACAGAGTATACTGTTTTCATGTGTGAGTTTACTGCCAAAGTAGGAAAAAAACAGGCCACAGACCTTGCAGTGGGGGAATATGGCATTGGCTCTAGAAATGCGAGAAGATATTTATTAATAGGGTTTGCATAACGTAATAATTTATTGATTTTGGATACGTTCTTCAGAAAACGAGCTAACCGTAAGTGGAAGTAGTGAAGTCCTAATGGTGAAACTGAAAATGAAACAGACTTCATTCTGTGGGCCCACCCAGGCATCGTACAAAATATCGAAGTAGTTAGCAAGATCAAATGCAGTGACCATAAAATGATAAGACCTCGTATTCACCTAGATTTAAAAAAAGCAAAGACAAAGACTAATACTTAAGAACCCACTTATTGAACTGGTGTTGAGAGGCAAAATACGAGAATTCAGACTTTCGCTTCAGAATTGATTCGAGCCACTAAACGAGATAACCGACTTCAACGTTGACACAATGAACCATAATCTTACTAGTATCATCAAAGAGTGTGCAATTGAAGTTAGAAGTACAGTCACTAGACGGAAAATGGGCAAACCATCTCAAGAGACGAAAAATCTTATTAAGAGACGACAAACAATACAAGCGTAAAATGCAATGGACAAAATAGAGCTAGTGGAGCTTTCGAAGTTGTTATATGCGTAAGGTAGCCGAAATCAGGAGGTATAACATGAAAAAGAATTAAGCAGGCTGTATAAAGCGACAGAAGCCTAAAAGCTGCGATAGCAGACTTGTGCATAGACAAACATTGCATTTATGCATTGAGAAACAAGAAAGGCGATCTCATAAACGATATAGTTTGGATAGTCGAGACTGCGGAGGAGTTCTATAGAGAGCTATACAGAAGCCAAAAGAACGGATGATATCTTGAGAAACAATAATTAACTAGAGGAATTGGACATCCTACCCGTAACGACAGGTGAAGTAAGGAAAACCCTAAATAATCACAGCATATCCACGGAGTGAATGGTCATGAATGGGGCGAAGCGTCCGTCAGCCCATCCGTGCTTCCGTCCGTCCGTTAGTTCTTGCTTGCGTTCGTCCGCACGACCATCTGTGCGTCCATCCATGCGTCCGCCTGTCTGTCCATCCATCCGTGCATCCATACGTCCGCGCGTCTGTCCAGCTGTGTTCCAGTCTGTCCAGTCTGTCTGTCTGTGCGTCCGTCCGTGCGCCTATCTAGTGAACACTCCAAGTACCGTCATCTTGCATCCCCTGTGGCAGATAATCACTCCGTGCGTCCATCCATCCGTCTGTCCGCATGCTAGTTTGTCTGTCTGTCCCTCCGTCCGTGCGTCTGTTCGTGCGTCCATCTACTGAACACTCCAAGTACCGCCATATTGCATCTCGCATCCCGGTGGCTACGTACGACTACAACGGAGGATGGACAGACCCACGGCTTAAGGAGCTTCGCTTCTAAAAGAATGCAAAGAGGTAAGTCCACTGGTTAGAATAACGTAACAAAATACACCCTGAAAGATGGCGGAGAAATTGTGTTAGACAAATTAGTCATCTTACTTTCGAAATGACTTTTAGCGGGAATGGTACCAAAATCTTGAAGGAATGCCAACATCATTTCAATCGATAAGAAACAAGACGTGAAGGACATAGAAAATTACAGGCCAATCAGCTTACTGTTCGTTCTCTAGAAAATATTTACAAAAATATTACCTAACAGAAATGAAGCGAAATTTAGTTCAATCAACCAAAGAACCTAGCAGGATTTCGTACTGGCTTTTCCACAAAAGATGGTATTCCTACTAAAACCAGGTATTAAAGAAATGCGATGAATCCAACCAACTCCTCTACATGGCTTTGAGAGATTACGAGAAGGCGTTTGAGTAAGTCGAGACATCAGGAGTATTGCAGGCATTACGGAATCAGGGCATTGAAGAATCCTACATAAACATAATGGAAGAAATATACACAGGATCCACAGACACAATACTTCCGCATAAAGAAAGCAATATAATCCCAATAAAGAAGGGTGCAAGACGGGGATGCACAATCTCTTCAATGCTATTCACTGCGTGTTTACGGGAGGTATTCAGGACCCTAGGTTAGGAAGAGTTAGGGATAAGAGGTAATGAAGAGTACTTTAGTAACCTGCAATTCACTGATGGCATTGCCTTGATGAGTAACTTAGGGAACGGAATACTACTCATAATTACTGAACTAGACAAGGAAAGCAGAAATGTAGGTCTGACAAGATTATGCACAACACTAAAGAAATGTGCAACAGTCTCGGCAAAAAAACACCACTTTGCGATAGGTGGAGAGACGCTGGAAGTAGTAAAGTAATGTGTTTAGTTTGAACAAATAGTAACCGTGGAGCCGAGCCAGGAGAGTGAAACAAGTAGAAGAATAAGGATGGTGTGGATCACAATCAGCAAGGATTTTGAATTCATGAGTGGTAATCTGCAACTAACCCTCAAGAGAAAGGTATTTAACAGCTGCAACCTGCCAGTACTTACCTACTGAGCAGAAATATGGAGGCTTACAAAGAGGTTTCAGCTTAAACTGAGGAAGACGCAGCGAGGGACAAAAATTAAAATGATAAGTGTAACCTCAAGAGACAAGAAAAGAGCAGAGTGGGTCTGCAAAAAAATCAGGGGTGAAGAAATCATATTTGAAATCAAGAAAAAGAACTAGACATGAACCAGCTAAGTAGCTTGTTGGCAGGTGAACCACCGTTAACCCATTGAAGCCCATGAAAAACTAGGAGTCGGAATTTATCTACATTGGGCACAACTAAATAAATAAAGTAGACAACAACATGTGCAAAGTTTCATAAAGCTCCGTTTATTTCTTCTGAAGGAACGATACTGTACTTAAAGAAGTACGCTGGGCTCTTGCCATAGCAATGCACAAGTTAGTGTGGTGCAAAAACAAAGCACGCGAGGCTCTTGCTGAACAAATGCCAGATTTATTTTGGTGCATGGAAATCGTTGAAGCACCCATGTTTTATGCATAGCGTAACATTACACTTTTCGCAACACCATTTTGATCTTTTGTGACAGACAGTGCAGCTCAACTGTTTTTCAAGCTTCTTGTCAAAATGCCCATGCGGATCAAAGACTATGGCAGGCACAGTGGATGCTGGCGACCTCTTGATGGCTCTGTTGGATACACCAAGGCGCAGGTAGTGCCTTGCTATAATGCGGGTGAATGACAGTAAGTCTAGCCGCGAATCTCTAGTAAGTTGATAGATCCCCCATGGGTTGACTACGGTCATGCTGATCATCTGGGTGAATAGGGGCCACCACCACTTCTTCCCACGGATGCAGATTCTGTAGTTATTAACCGTTTGGTCGTGGAAGTCAACGCCTCCCATACCGCTGCTGTAGCTGTTGAACAGGTGTGGCTGCGGCAACTTTACTTTACTTTTTTTTTCAGAAGATGACTATCTGCTCACAGAGCATAGCGGCTTGACTGTGTCGTTGTTCGTCGCCATTGTAACTACGCTGTTGTTTCTCCACTTTACGAAGAGAACCTCGTTTTCTGGATCAAAAAAGAAGCGGAATTCCCCACGTTTTTGTTGCTTCGTTTTCTTTTTCTTTGGCAGAGGGCATCCTTTCAGTCGATTCTCTCGTATAGTCCCTGTTGCTCGAAAACCAAGTTTGTGTATCGAAATAAGAAGGCTATGACTCATAAAAATTGTCGAAGAATACTTTTTGGTCACTAGGTGTGGGCACGGTTCGAAGAAGTGAAAGGACCACTCGTGATCCCAGTGGCCCTTTGTTTGGTTAGATCAACTTGCCACAGTAAGTGTCGAAAGCAAAGCAGTACCCATCAGCGCGGCACAACATCCAATTCTTGTAGCCGGAGTGGATAGGCTTTCCTCTGATGAACTGTTTGCATGGGTAGTGCCCGAAATATTATATATTGGGTTCATCTATGGACAAAGTTTCGTGAAAAATGCCGTGTTGTCTGAACTTTTTGTTCAAGAGCTCCATCAGTCGTCTCACTTTGAAGATTCTGTCGTTTGTACTCTGAAGCAAATCATTGTCGGTTGGTGCAAAAAGCGCATTATATCGAGGAATCTCTGTCGGCTCATACAACTTGCTACACACGGAGGAACCAGTACATGCACTGGCTGGGCAGCTTGTGGTAGCCACCAAGCAAAAGAATTCTAATAAATTTCTTCAGGTCCTTTATGCCGAAAACAAATCCGCGCTCATTGTTCTGCTTCGCTTAGTTCCCGGTTTGCATTACAATATGCGTCAAAATTTCCTAATCAAGCATAGAGCTAAACACCTCAATTGAAGACTTTGCAAAAAACTCAGATTTTAGCTTTGAGTGCTTTTTTTCGGGCTTATTAGTTGATGCTGACCAGGTGTACTCTGGGTCGCTGTTCTGCCAACGTGGGAGCTGAACCTTTGCTCTTTTTTTGCGCGCCACAGCATCGTCTGGATCGTCGTCACCTCCATTGCAGTGTAACTCTAGCGTGCCTAGAAGAGGATATAATCGTTTATGTTTCTATAAAAGACGCACGATCTCAGTAATTATGTATGTACACACCTGAGACGTCCTTCACAACCACATCCGTCATAACGTCGTCGTCCCCCTCCTCCTCATCAGTGTCCCCGGTAGCGTCAGGCGGGACAATGACAACATCAACAGGCTCGTCAATGTTTCCAGCGACATCTGTTGCAGCCTCGAGGGCCTCAGAAAACCGACAAAACGGTATTCTTCCAAAGAAAATGCCTGATTCCATCTCTGAGGCAACCTACAAGAAAAAGTGCATATAAGCTCCCACGAAGGCCCACTGTACTACACAAAGTACAGCAACATTTAACAACGCCTCAGAGAAACGCCATGCACCATATCTGTTTCTTGCGCTTCGCAGCGATTATTTGTTTTTTACTGATGCGTATTCAGTCCGATTTTTCAACATTTACAGTGAAAAACCTCAAATAACAAAGAAAAATTGGTACTCACCACACGTGTTCCACGGGCGCCCATTTTCCGGAACTTTCATGACTCATAGAACGCACAGCAGAGATGCGAGTGACAATGCCAGATTGGGGGTGTCTTATCGGGACCTCTGGTGTCCGAAACGCGCACTAGTAAGATCGAAATATGGGCATGTAAAATTTTGCTCCCCGAAAAACGATGTTTACTTTGTAAAGTACGCCGGGCGCTATTAGGTTAACTAAGGGTAACTTATTGGATTCCCAAACAAAGCAAAGGCACAAAGAAGAGACAGAAAATTAGGCGAGCCGATGAGAATAAAAAGTTCGCAGGTATAACGTGGCAACGGAAAGCACCACAGTGGGTTGATTCGTGGATCACGGAAGAGGCTTTTGCTCTGCAGTGGACGTAGCCAGACTGATGATGATGATGTTAATGGTGGTGAGGACGAATTGCTTACCCCTGTGAACATCCGAATTTCGTTACTCCACCTTCTTACACCGTGTTTCACCAAGCTTACCCGAGTGCGTTTTACATTCTTTGATGACCGATATGATGCTCTTATAGCGACGTGACGCTTATAGCGACGTGACGCTTATAGCAGCGTGCAGCATGCTAAAGCGAGAAGTGGAAAACAAAGAGGTGAGAGCGTAGAAACGTAGCCAAGCCAGCACCACCTAGGTACCTGTCAGCTCCAAGCTTTGCGTGACCTAGTGGAAGCCTCGCTAATTTTTTTGGTCTTTCCGACACGACGAGCACCTGCTGTCGCTGTTGTCAAGAACATAGAAGAAAGAACAAAAAATCTTGCCGTATGCAAGGCATAAATGATGATAAGTTGGCGAAGTTTGAGTTGAGGAGATAATCGGTGAACCGTAACTCTCCCGAGAAAAGCTAGCCTATTACATCATTAAAAAGACGTAAGACTGTGCGTATATTATATTGATCAACTTTTCTATTGTTCTCGTTTGCTTGTTGTCTTGTTTGTTCGTTTGTTCTTTTAACTTCTTTGTTGTCATGGCGGCTGGATTGCGAGGTCTCTTTAATATTACGGCTTTATGGTCCGTGAAATTAGGCAAGAAAGGTTCATGTACTAGCTGCTGTAGGGATTTCGCAAACACTAATACTACGCACGGCCCCTAGTATCGTGGTAAGTTGCTTATGGATACATCTGAGTGTGTGTTTAGAAAGCCTGTTCTAAAAGCACTTTGACTTGGGCGAGTTTATAGGTAAATAATTGCGTAGGCTTCAGTGCAATTTAGACTATGACTAATGGAGACACACAGCGCTCGTCTGTGTTCTGTGTGTCTCCATTTGTCTTCGTCTAAATTGCGCTGAAGCCTATCCAATTAGAAAACCTGTCCTGCACGATGCAGTCATTGTGAATTAGGTCCATCCGTGCGTCCGTCCATGCATCTATCCGCCCGTTTGCTCACCCCTCTGTCTCTCTCTCTGTCTGTCTGTCTGTCACTCACACTAGCATCACCTCCTGAGTGAGTCATACAACTGCGTGGTTACGAACAAGTCACAAAACGACATATATAAACAGACTCATGGCTTTAGGAGCTTCGCTTCTAATATATCTAGTAAAATAAAAAAACTGTTGTGAAACCTCAAACTCTCAAAATGCATACTAGTATCTGATTATGTCGTTAATTTCTGCGCAGTTTTGTGGCTGCAGGCGAGCTACCTTTGCTGCTTTGCCTATGGTTGCCACGAACCACCAGGTGGCTGTCCTCTACCGACGCCGGAAAAGAGAATGCGACTGTTTTTCTTCGAACCCGTGTGGCAAGGGTGCGTGGACATCGAAACTAGTGGCTGCGGAGCATACGGCTGGCCGACGCTTTATCACTGCAAATTTTTTTGCAAGCACATGCTGCATGACCGCGTGAATGGCTCATAGGAACAAGCCTCGCAACTACCTCTTATGTGCCTTAGAATAGGACGAGCTTGACCTCTCCTGTATTATTAGTGTGGCCCGCAACAGTGCAGTTGCCATGTTATCGCATTGAATAAACTGTTCCAACATGTAACTTGGGTCATCTGTAACTTCTTTTATTCCTCACAGATTTCAGTTTAGTACATGAAAGCATTGCTGTGAGAGTGTATGTCGTACGATTTAACTAAAGGGCTGCTAAACAAGCTTTGAACGTTCATAATGAATAATTGGCAGTGCGAATTAACAGAACGCATCCTTGGCACCCCGTTAATTTGCCCTGCCAATACTTTGTTCGGTATAAATCTGCACCAACTAGCCCGCCTTTGAACCCTTCAGCTCTGAAAGTATAAATATTAGGCATGTTCTTCTCTTCTAGTCATTCCAGCGCTTTCGGCCCAATTTGCGACAACAGGGTGATGTCATAGACGAAAATAGCTACGTGCTAATCAGATTGTGTGCTAAGTCACGCCAACAGTCCTTAATCTTTTCGCAATCTATTCAGGCCTCCACTTTGCTGCTTGACTGGAAAGTGGGGAAGGTGGTCCCTCTGCACAAATCTGGTAACACACAGTCTCCTCTCAATTACAGACCAATTTCCCTAACCAGTGTTCCTTGTAAAATGTTAGAACATATAATTTACTCCAACCTTGTCTCATTCCTAGAATCAAATTCTTTTTTTACTCCCTACCAGCACGGATTCCGAAAAATTTACTCATGTGAAACCCAACTTCTTTATTTTACTAATGACATAGCATCGGCTTTAGATCGCGGCTCACTTGTGCATTGCATTTTTCTTGACTTTCAAAAAGCTTTCGATAAAGTACCTCACCAATTATTCCTCCTGAAAATTAGTGCCTTAAACATTGACCCGATCATTCTTAAATGGATTGAATGCTTTGTGACTAATCGCACTCAGTTTGTAACAGCTAATGGCTATAACTCACCTCTTTCTAAAGTAACATCCGGCGTACCCCAAGGTTCCGTATTAGGCCCTTCACTTTTTCTTATATATATATTAATGATCTCTCAGACAGCACTAACTCCGCTATAAGGTTATTTGCAGATGATTGTGTAATTTACCGCGAAATAAACAATGAATATAATAACCAATTTCTACAGTCAGACCTTGACACTGTCTCAACCTGGTGCAATAAATGGCTTATGACTGTCAACTCTAACAAATTTAAATGCATGTCAATAACCCGGCGATCTTTTTCTCCCCCCTGTACCTACAGAATTAACGCCGTTCCCCTCCAGCATGTCTCTTCATATAAGTACCTCGGCGTTTACATTACCAACAATCTATCTTGGCACACGCTTGTTACCTACATCTGTAATAACGCTAACCGAACGCTAGGATACTTACGCCGCAACTTTTCTCGCGCTCCGCTGTCCCTGAAAATTCTATTATAACGATCACTAATTCGCCCAAAGCTTGAGTACGCGTCCGCTATATGGGATCCCGTGCTGCAAAATTTAAATAACGCATTAGAATCTGTTCAGAACCGCTCAGTTTGGTTCATTTGTTCTAATTATTCCCGTACTGCTAGCATATCCGAAATGAAATCTAACCTTGACCTACCCAATTTAACTGTCCGGAGGAAACTGGCGCGACTGCATTTTTTTCATAAGATATTTTTTCACAATCCATCAATGAAGCGAGAGCTCATTTCACAACCGTCATACCACTCATCGCGCATTGATCATCAGCATAAGGTTGCCATTCTGTTTTGCCGCACCAAATTCTTTTCAGCAGCCTTCTTACCGAAAACAGCCGCCGACTGGAACCACCTTCCCTCTTCCGTTGTAACAATAACAGACCCTTTGTTATTCAAGACTTCAATTTCTCAGCAATGCTTGTAACTATACACGGTTTCCATTATCTATCTTTGTCTTGTTTGTGCTTGAATTCTTATACATTTTTAGTTGACTTATGTTGCCTTCCTGATTTGCGCATCTGACACTTGTTTCTTTATTTTGTCTTTTTTTTCTTGTGTGTTATATATGTTGTACCCACCCCCTCTGTAATGCCCTACGGGCCTTGAGGGTATTCTAATAAATAAAATAAATAAATAAACAGGCTAAGGTGTTTCACACTTGCTGTAATGGCAACATTCAGCACTGTTTGTCACTCCAATGTTTAAATGCACAAGCATACACCCTATGAAGTTCCCGGATAGATGAACGCTGCCAAAGCTCAGTGGTAGAGTGACGAACGAGTTATCCGATGGTTTGGGTTCTGCCAATAGCCATTTATCTTTTCACTCGGTTTTTAATTTCTTCACAAATATATTACAGTTCCTTTTAATAAAATATCTATAAACTATATCTCTATAAATTTTGCGGCATTATTGTCTGTTCATTCTTAATATAATTGGGTCTAACAAACAGAGTGGCCCAGTGAAGTTACCGTTCTTTTTTTGATTTAGAGAGAAAGAATTGATGCCAAAATATGCCTTCCGGTGGTATGCGAGAAAATATTCGTCAACCACCAGCTCGTGATATTATCACATGCTACGTGACATTAACATTTACAACTTTTAATTTTTACTTGATGTAAGGAAAAAGATTTCCTCGTCCCGCACCATGAATATATAGCAGGCAATGCCAATAAGAAAAAAAATGAACAGGGAAGTGCCAAATGAAATTTTGAAGAAGAATGTGCAAGAGAACCAGACTCCACCCCTAGACAAACCAGACAAAAAAAAGCTCTTAGTTTGGTGTGCAATGTTGATCTTGCTGCTAATATGTTTGATGGAGCTAATCTTGAGGAGCGAGTCTTGTGATGCGCAGCTGAATGTGGCTGTTTTGTAGATTTTGCTTTCCTGTCAGTCGATAGAGTAGGAGTTTCCTGTTGATTTAAACTTCTTCCTAAGTGATTGCTCTGTAAAACTAATAATAAATTTTGATTACTGCCCTCCACTCCCCCTGCTTGGATAGTGTCAAAATGGTTTGCATATCGGTTTTCGTATTTTTTTCTAGTAGCAGATGCGGAATATAGCTATGCAGAGTAGAAATATTCTTAGATTTTTGTTTCAGTTTTTCTATATAGAGTGATATTCAGTGCGGACTTATAGTTAAAGAAATTCAGGCAATACAAAATGTTTCAAACTTCCCGTATTGGCAAAAGGTGGTGCTGACTGAAGCTGTCACGTTTAAATGTGTATGACCATATGCACTGCCAACTGTCAGGTTTCTTTTGCCATGACAATTACTCAGAGTGGACAGCACACCCTTTGGGTTTTCACGATGGATAGCATTAGTAAGCTTAACTTTGTGAAAAGCTTTAGTAGGCCAGGTCATTCAGGTGTAATTTGGTGACAATTTTTAAGTGATTTATTCCTTTAGATAGGCACGCATTGCTGCGACACTAAAAAGTTGTAATAATGACTTCTTTCGCTTTTGACAAACACAAAGTGCCAAATGGCAACTGAGTTGCGCTGAATGGAACCTGAATGACCTGGCCAACTTTGTTCCGAACCCACTTGTAGGTGTCTAGGTGGAGAGACATGTAAATCCGGTGCGGGAAGCAGAGTGAGAAAGAGAGAAGAAATATAAGACATGGACTACCTCTTATGGATGTGTCCTGGGTGTTGCGACTCCGGCTCCTGCGGGTCTCAGTTTGGTAGCGAGCCCCCATCGTAGAAATAATCGTCCAACAAGTCCGATGAGGCACTCCTGAGAACGACAACAATTTATTTACATGGTTAGTAACTAAGACTTTGAAAGGAGGTGATCAAGTGATCAAGTAGAACTCAAGTAGTCTGAAGAATAGCAGAACTGAAAATATACAAAACGTCTTCGCTTATACAGCTGCCAACACTGGGCGCATTGTCCGCAGCTTCAGCCAATACGGCGCTCGATGGTCCAGGGGCTCCCTCCCCGTAGGCGTGGTAAGACACCGAAAAATGCCCGTGGAGAAGACACAGTCTACACGATGCCCAAATATGAACAATAACGCACTGCACCAACGTTTTGCACTCGTCACCAAGATTTTGCGCACGCCCGATGTTCTTAGATCACCTTCGTTTCCAAGAACTCTTCTGGCAGTTGGATGAAGTTTGAAAAACCGGCTCCCGGTACACGTGCCCAACTTGCCTGACTGCGTTTGGGTAGGACAATGTAGTGGCCCGACCCGATAGCTTATTGTCAAACCTGCCACTCCATTTAGCCGATGCCATGGAGAGAGAGAAAAGGAAGATTGGTCGACTAATTTCTCGTCGTTGAGGCGCTGAGGCGTTCTCCCGCAAAGGTTGCAGAAAATAGTGTTCTTTTTCTTTCTTTCAACCACACAATATTACCGCGTCATGTGCTGGAAGTTACGGCTTAACTGCGAATTTCTCGGACTTCGCTTCTCCTTGAACAAGCTTTGCTTCTCCTCGCAAGTTGCAGCTACAGCCATTTTGGGTTTTAACTTTCAGACCTAACTGAAAATACAACGCTGGTTCGGATTTCTCTAGGTCCACGGTGACCACAAAAGTGGCCCAGTTGCCTCCTTGTTTCCCTGGAAAGCCTTGAATAGACAAGAGTGGAAACTTGGGCTAGTTGGTGCGTAGTCATATTTGCAAGATGTTTCAGCGCGCGAACAAAGGAAAAAGGACTGTCAATTTCTGTCTACCCTGTCCTTTTTCCTTTGTTCGCGCGCTGAAACATCTTGCAAGTATGCCTTGAATAAAGTCGAGTTGACAATGGCCTTTCTTTTGCTCGTGCATTTTGTTTGCGCGAACCGGTCCTGGACCCTTTGTTCACGTTTGCTGAGACGAAATCAGCCCGTCTTTAGGGGGCATCTTTGCTTAGAATGAGTCGAAATATTCTCGTCCAGTTTGCAAACGCCGAAACAACTTCAATACTGATGGCAGTCATAACAAGGGCTACAAGCGGCTCGTTGACGGCCAACAGGCTGCCTGACTTGCAGCAGAGAATACCCGTAGCTTTTTTCTAGACGTCATGAAGAAAACGCAAATGCACAACTTCGTGTACTTTGTATTGATGCTGTAGCGCCAACTTACTTATATGAAATATGCTTTGAAGAATTGACCATTTGGTGAGTTGATAATGCATTGAAAAAACGAGAAAAACGTGCACAACGAGAAAAAAAGCGGCAGCACGAGCGCCGAAAATATCACCATAATCATTATCAACATCATCATTGTCGTCGTCATCATCATCATCAGTGTAAATACGTCCACTGCAAAACAAAGGCCTCTCCTATGTTCCGCCAGTCAACTCAACTCGCCTCGTTCCATCAGTCAACTCGGTCCTGTGCTTGCTGCTGCCAATTTATATCCACAAACTTCTTAATCTTGTCTGCCCACCTAACCTTCTGTCTCCCCAAAACCCGCTTGTTTGCTCTAAGAATCCAGTTACTTATCCTTAATGGCCAGCGGTTATCCTGCCTAGGTACAGAAATATACGCAGAAAGGTAACGCTCAAAATGCGTTAGCTCCGGTAGAAAATGCTATGCCTTTAAAAACTAGCGCACCCTCCCCTGGAGGCACAATGCTAAAAATAGAGCGAAGCTGACAGGCATTCGTGTAGAACTAGAATCGGAACATAGTAAGGCTTTAGCGCCAAACGACACCACAAAAAAATGCAGAACACAGTGCTGTGTTCTACTTTTTTGTGTTGTCACTTACGACTCAATCATCACGTTGGAATCACACCAACTAGCCCGGCATCTCATTCTAGGGCTAGTTTTTTTGCTAAGTCTTGTAAATTCTCTCAATGTTCCAGTATTTCTTCCTTCTTATCTACGTTTTTTTCCTGTTTGTTTTAATGTACTTATTTCTTGCTTTCTCTTTATTCTTTTTGTGATTTTTCATCATTTTGTACTCATAGATATTTTGTTGTCTCTGTCTGTTGTCTCCTTTTGTTGTCTCCTCACCTGCCTATTTTTTATTTTTATCCGTTTCTCTCTCTCTTTTTTCAACTTTGACCCTCTGTGCACTTTTCACTTGCTTCCATCCTGTTATCTTTTTCTCTCAGCCAATTCCTTCCTTTTTCTCTCTCCTCTCGTGTCCTTTCGTTTTTTCTTTTGACCTTTCTCTTTTTATGTTATATGATTTACTCTCTACAACCCCCTTTTTCCTTCCTCCCTTTAACACCTCTTATATACACCTGACTTCTGTTTTTTACCACCTTGCTGTCATTATCAACATCATCATCGCCATCAGCCTGACTACGCTCACAGCAGAGCAGAGGCCTCTCCCATGTTCCGCCAATCGACCCGATATTGTGCCTTCAGCTTCCACGTTAAACCTGCGAACTTTTTGATCCCATCGGCTCACCCAATTCACTATCTTCCCGTGGCGCATTTGCCTCTTTTAGGAACCCACTCAGTTATCGTTAAGGCCAGCGGTCATCCAGCCTACCGGGCTACGTGCCCTGCCCATATTCATTTCTTTTTTATTTCAACTATGATATCTTTACCCCAGCTTGTTCCCTGACCCACTCTGCTCTCTTGTCTTTTACGTAAAGTTAAGCCTACCATTTTCCTTTCCACCGCTTGCTGCACCATCCTCAATTGAAGCACAACCCTCTCTGTAAGCCCTGGGTTTCTGCTCCGAAGGTAAGGGCTGGCAAGATGCTGCTGTTGTAAACCATTCTCATGAGAGTTAGTGATTGATTCCTATGAATATTTTGAGAATGTTTGCCGAGTGTGATCTACCCGATCCTTATTCTTCTAGTTACTTTACTCTCATGGTTCGGCTACACGTTTACTACCTGACATAAGTAGACATATTCCTTTACAATTTCCAGCGTCTCTCCACCTATCGCAAAGCGTTCTTTTCTGCCCAGATTTATTCACATTACTTTAGTTTTCAACGGGCATAATTTTCAGACCGACTCTTCTGCTTTGCCTGTTCCGTTCAGTAACCATGACCTGCAACTCGTCCCCAGAGTTACTCATCAAAACAATGTCATCAGTGAATCGCAGATTTTTAAGATACAGTCCTCTAAATCTTATCTTTAGCTTTTCCCAGTATAGCGCCTCGAAAACGTCCTGTAAACTCGCGGTGAACAGCATTAGGTAGGTCGTGTCTTCCTCCCTCACACTCTTTTTCATTTGGCTGCTGTCGCTTTCTTCATTGAGGGCCAAGGTGTACGTGAATACGCTGTAGATTTCTTCCAGATATCTTTTGGAGAGGTGCTTCTAAACTTTTCAGCATTGGTTGGTTAAAGGTAAGCCACACACTTCACAAGCCTCATAAAACACTGAATGTTAGCATTGGCAAACATGCGAGTGATGTAAAGTATCATCATGCGTCCATCACCTAAGGACGTGAACTCGATATAACTGGTCACCAGGGGTTCATTATCATCACTGCCATTTTTTACGTCAATCTTCACAATGCCAATATCTTGTCATGGCAAAACGAGGTTACGTGATTTATTTAGAGCATCTTATATAACGACGTCTGCAGGAAACATATCAAATTGTTTGTGCGAAGAATAATTTTGAGACAGTTAACAAAGCCCATCTTTCTTGGAGGCAAGCTGCGTCTCCACTGTTCATTGTTTCTTTTTTAACGCGCTCGTCTCGGCGTCACATCGTATTGAAGAATAAGTCGTTTATTATCCTGGACGCCAAGCGCTGGATCTCTTGATCGAGTAACGCGAACAATTTCAATTTATTTTGAGTAAAAGCAAATCTTTCAATTTTGAAAAACAAGGATAGTTTCTAAGCTGTCTTCACTTCTCCTCACCCATGTCTTAAACTGGTGCAGCTGTGGCGGCTTTTGTTTATTTTTAAAGAAGTCCCAGGTGAGGCGCTGAAGCTTTGGCAGTTTCTTTGGTGGAATCTAACGGCACCATGAAGCTTCGTGCAGCACTCTTCATAGCTTTCTTCATTACAACTTTATGTGCACCGACATTCTCCCAGGTAAGCCTCGTGGAATATATACACCAGCTTATCGTTCTTCGAAACGTTTTCAGGCACTCTACATTCGGCTGACTGAATACGTGGGAGCTAAGGACCATTTTATAAATACAATGTTTGGCTTCAGAGTACATGTATCGCTACAGGATATTCTATTTCACTTAAAGCATGGCATACCCGGCGCAGCCACGCTTCAGAAGCGCGCCATTCTGGCGATAGACTTTGAAAAAGCCTTTGAATATCCGGCACTCGGCTTTCTTGACCAATATGGCCAAAATAGAAAGCGGTTAATGCGCATAAAACTACACGCGCAACTGCCGTCAAAACCACAACCTTACCATACGAAAATGCGATGCTAAAGCAGCCCCATCACAATGCCAATGTTCATCTGGCATCACAATGTCAGATGAACACCGAACGGAGCGCTCATCTCGCCACTAAGATTCAATTTAGCATTAATGCATATCCCTAGAGCACTAAACGAAATACCTGGAATTAAGGATGCAATCAACGCAGAGGATGTCAATATATGGATGAAGAAAGGCTGCATGAGGCAGATAGAAGTGTTTCAACGGGCTGTGGACACTGTGGAACACATTGGTCGAACATGCGGGCTTTACTGCTCCCCCACAAACTGAAATTGCGGTATTTAGGCAACGTGGCAACGGCGTTCCTTTGAATATCCAACTTTATCGAAGCCAGGTCGAGGATGTGGAAACCATCCGCATCCTCGGAGTGGCAACAAGATAGCACTTGAAGAGCTCCGTACTGCTTGTACAATTATCTCTCGAATGATAACTAGAATGGCCAATTTACAATGTGGCCTGAAGAAGGCAGACACATTACGTTTCGTAGAGGCCTTTATGATCATATAACCTATAGCTTTGCGTGCCTACGCATCCTGAACAATGATAACTTCAATTTAGACCGTCTACTATGACTTTCATACGAGAAAGGCCTCAATTTACCTCTATATGCCATGAATGACAGATTGCTTGCGATGAGCATATATTTAGTACGGATTCAGAGCTCTCACATGAAGCAAGTGATTTGGCTCACGTGTAATAAAACAGGGCAGGCCTCGCTAGACGCCTTCAAAATAAGTCAACCGATTTTGGTTGCCAGTAAACTACCGCTACCACAGGAATGGCAAAGAGAAACCCATATTTGGCTTTTGCCACGCAGTGCGCACCCAGTCTCTCACAAGAAAAGTTGAACTGCTATGGCCAAATTATATAATTATTGTTCGCTTCGTCTGGAAGCCTTTTTCTGAATTGCGCCAGAACCCTGCACAAACGCGCCATGGCAGCCATGGATAACAGGCGACAAACCATGGACTGCATCTCACCTACCGGAATAAACATCAAAGCCAATAAAGAAGCCAGTATATTCTTAGCCATACGTAATGCAGAACACACCTTTGTCTTTAGACATTCCCAGGCATAGTATCAGAATTTCTCCAAAGATGATGTCTGCCGCCTAACACATTGAATACTGCGACACGTTGTGGCAACTTGTAAAGAGAGTCAGTTGTTAGAACTGTTATGTGTACCTGGGAACAAAGGAGTTAGAGGGAATGAACTCGCCCATGCATCCGCCCAAAATCTCTTACATCAAGCGTCCACTGCTTCCACAGTGTAAGTTCTTGCTGAGCAGGACGATAGCCAGCTCTCATTTCCCACTATATCCTTCAACACATCATGCTGAGTGAACCCACTCTACTCCCTTCCCCGTCATCATAAATTAAGTAGGGCATAGCAGGCCACTTGTGGCGAGGACTACAATTACCATCATTTCTAAATCAATATGTATTATTGAAGATCTACCCTTCGTTGTAAGATCCAAAGCTGAGCTTCTGTGCCAAAACAGCCACTTTAATTCATAATATCTGAGGCTGCCAAAACAATCCCAGTATATCAGCGAACTATATTTCTACTTTAGTCGAGTTGGATGAGACCTTGTACAGCTATGACCCAATGCAGGAACATGCTTTGGTTGAGCGAGCCCGGGCAGCGGCAAGTGCCAATGGTCTTCCGGACGCCAAGGTCCAACCACTAGCGACTAATTTAAAACCAATAAATGTTTTATTGTATCGCTGCCCAGAACACGCAGCACAGACAGCGTGAAATCTAGAAGAGTGTCCTTTCCAGAGCCCGTTGTATAGGCTCTCTTGGGGCACTAAAGAAATAAAATGCAAGGTACTCAGTGGACCATAAACCACCGCCACTTTGAGTGAGTAGAGAAGGACCCAATAAGCCAGTATAAGTTATAGCGTGGATTAGCACGGTACCCGCAACACATATGCGAGGCATTGTGCGCACTTTCTTTCTGCTGTGGCTGATGACGATGAAGAAATATGGCTGAGCTTCAGAAGAGTCTGAAAGCATTCAACAACCCACTAGTTGCGCAATTCGCATTGTTTGAGGCATAGTTTTTTTCAAATCTTCTACGATGCTGTCTTATATATATCAACACAGTTCCCTGCCCAACATGACAGTTTTATGGGGTGCTTTGCGAAGAAGTTTTAAGAACCAGCGTCTCTTTGTGGTAGAGCGCTCGACCATCACGCTTATGTATCGGGTTCAAATCCCAATTATTCGTATTTTTTTTCAAACTACTTTTATATATCTCGCAATAGCCTAACGGTCACGGACACTGTATTTGGTGATCACGTGTAGCTATGGCGCCTGAATCGACTCTAGCTGTGCTCTCAATTTACCTTTCACTGTAATACTGACGCGAGGGTTCCGCAATACTGTGGGTTTAATAAGCCACCAAGTAGCTAGCTTCTGGAAAATGCGTCCATCACAGCTCGCTCTCGAGCAGAGGAGAAACGCAGTATATCGATTTTGAGTGCGCTGTTGCCGTTGACCAATTACGTGCAGGAAGCATTATCCCTTCTTTTCAACTCCCCCTCCCCCAATGAACAAGCAAAAGTAGATATAAAAAGAAAAAGACAGCACCGCCTTGATGCAACAACATAGGTTCATAAAACAAAAGGAAATGTAAAATTCAGATAAAGGCAAAGTAGAACCTAAAAAGCTTGAGAATAAAAGAAGAGGCATTGAATGAACAAGCAAGTTTACAAAAATAAGTACAATACAGAAACAAACATTTATGAACGAGAAAAAATACGAACGCGCAATTAGCGGTTTCATACGCAAACGCGAACAACGTCGGGACTCGGTCATGTCTTCGTCCGCACCTGCGTTGTTGAGTAGAGGGTTACTTCGTAGTTCACGTCACTGAAACGGCGTAGCACTTCATATGGGCCAAAATATTCGCTCTGTAGCTTTTACTAAGGACACGACGGGGAAAGGGCATCGACACCCAAACTTGCTTTCCGGGGTTGTAGAACACTTCTCTGTGGCGATTGTTATAGCGTAGTGCCTCGGCCTGCTGCTGCTAGCCGATGTACAGCCGCACGAGCTGTCTTGTCAAGCTTCCTAGGCAGGCTCGCAGAATTCCTCGGCGTCAGTCACCAACTCGTCGTATTCTTGACGTAGTAGCATAGAGTCTAGCAAGGTCAGCAGATCGCGCCCATAAAAAAGAGGCAAAATGTCGTGAATTTCACGGTCTCTTGCACGGTGGTGTCATACGAGAAGTTCACGTAAGCCAAGACCCGATCTTACGTTTCGTGCTGTACGTCGATGTTTATTGCGATCATGCCTGCGTGCTTCTAATTCAGTTGTTCGGTAAGTACGGTGGTTCGCAGGTGCTATGCAGATGTCTTTCAGTGTCTGGTTTTGCCTAGTTTGAAAACTTCGCTCGTAAGCTGCTCCTTTGAATGCTGTCCTTTTGTCCCTTATTATACTGCAAGGAGAACCTTGGCGCAACAAGACGTAGCACATGAAAAGTAGCGCTACCCCACAAGCCGTGACTCGTGGGATTTCCTGCGTCTCAACGTAGCGTGGTAAACAGTTGGTATACATGATCCCTTACATAATTTATCAGAAAATGGAGAAAATTGCCCGAGAATGTCGATGGTAACTTTGTCGAACGTGTCGCTGTGTGATTCATTTCGCTGACGTGCGCCAGCTGGCTTAACCGATAGTTGCTTCCGACGCTGGCATTCTCGACAGCCTTTGACGTACTGGTTGACGTTTGCTGAAAGTACGGGCCAATAGTGCCCCTCGCTCAATCTGGCAAGTGTCTGTGAGTAGCCTATGTGACCAGATGTAGGTCCGTCATGGCAAGTGAGCAGGATGTCGTCTCGCATGTCCCGCAGAACCACCAGGAGGTAAACACAGTCGTTTCAACGAGCGTTCTTCTTGTAGAGCATGCTGTGCCACAAACAGAACGGCATAGACTGGCGGGGCAAATGACGTGATATGGTGGCAACCTCGTCCTCTGAATTTCTGGCGTCAGTATGCATCTCAGTATTGGTATAATTGTCGAAATGAGTGACAATGGACGCTCAATGCATGTGCGGTCGCAGTTAAGCAAAATCCACCTATTACTCATCATTTCAGACAAATGACGCGCCACCTTTTGTGAGCCAAGTCAGGCATTCCGCTAACCGCGAAAATCCGTCAATAAATCACAATAGTAGGCGCACAAACAGAAAAAAAAAAACACCGGAGGAACGGCTTCCTTATCGACACGGGCTGGTATTGCGGTAACTGCGGCAATCTTGCCTGAATAGGGCCGGGCGCCTTGGCGCCTACGACGTAATCAGGAAACTGAAGCTCCTCCTAACTGAAGTGACATCTATTTTGTAGTTTGAGCCATTTTATAGCTTTTTTTACGAAGTTGAATTTATTGTGGAATGGTGCAATGAAATAACTTCATCAGTGGCTACGTCCTGATGAATTTTGTGAAAAAAGTATCAAAATTGACGCCGTGTGCCTTCAGAGAAAACGAAAAAACGTGGAAACAGCTCGCTATAGAATTCAACAGCCGACCCACTGTGCATCCGTGAACGGCAGACTAAACAACTAGAAAAGTGTTTGCGTCACTTCGAGAAGTTTTACCGGTACGCGAAAAAGTGTTTTTGCAAGCATAGCTGGTATCTGCTCGACTGTATATTCGTGACACAGTCGGCTACGAGGCACTGGCAAGGCCATCGCTCCCAAGTTGAAGCGTGCCAACTCCATCAAAGTGCGATGCGATTAGCAGCTGCATGAGACGGGGTACAACGAACCCATGACCATAGATGGATATTTTCCTGCAGAAACGGCACAGCGAGCAGATTCTTCACGGCACTTTCTGTGAAGCGGGGGTGGTACGAAAATTCCTGCTTGTCATAGGTCTCAACCAGGTTCCGTCGATCGTTGAGGACTCGCCGCGTCGGTGACGTGTATGCGTACGTTGTGCCGTTCATTATTTCTTCTTTGCGGTGCACATAATAAATGGAATACATTATATACGCAGTTGTCGTCCCCCGCCATGTTGTTTAAAGAAGCCTTAAGGTGGGTCATAGGCTAGCTAATCATGCCTTAAGTACGAGGAAAGTTCCACGATAAGTTCCAGGTAGGTTCTTGGGACGCGTTAAGGGCAGATTTATAGCTAAGCTTGAGTTAATTCATAAGGATAAGGTCAAGTTAGGTTTATGAATATGGGGGGTGGTAGCCTCTAGCGCGTCTGAAGGAAACACTTGGGTGGATATCAAACAAACGCGTTATTCTTGGTTGATACGGCGTATATGAGACGATGATGAAGAATAAAATACACAGGACAGGCGCTGACAAGTGCGCCTATTCGTCAAAACGTTAATGTCTTTAGTTTCACTTGAGCTGAAGCACCTGAAATTAGTCCGGTTTCAGGTCACTGTGGGTTAAAAAGAAATTAAACGGCCGACGCGTTAGCCCGCGCTTTGCTGGATGTCCCAATGTTTCAGGTTCTCTCACTGGTAGAATTCACTGCAATGAGCAATGGTAAATTAGCAATTCAGAGAATGGATGGAATCAATAACAACATGGACGGAGTACAAACACCTGAAATTCCCTTAGAAGGCTCAGTGGAGACAATCTTGGCAATAAGAAGTGAGGGCAGCGAGATTTCGGTGGCGCGTCCCCTCAGTAACCTTACACCTGTAGAGGGCTGGTCTGACGATATCACCCTTCTGCCGATTCTGCGGAGAATGAGAAAATATCGCAAACAACTTTTTTCTCATGTCGCCCATTTTCCAGCATTAGAAAACCATTTCTCATTAGTCCTCTAATAAACAAGGTGCGCTACAGTAGGGAGGCTTCGAATCAAGATCACCATTCTTCGTCCTCTTTTGTGTGCGGTGTCAACCAAGATAAACGCATACCAACTCGTTGAAGCTCCCTTTCTTACACAATGTTTCTCAAGCCATGGGTTATGCTTTTGAAAGCACCCATAAAAAATGTCGGCTAATTGATTAATATATCACACCGAAAGCAATCATTCGATTTAGGATTAACACGACTAATAATAAATGATTAATTTATTAAAAATTTATTCGTCCATATCTAACCTTCAGTACTGCTTCCTCAATGCTTTTCAGGACGCCCGAACTAGTTAAGTGTCGCCTCTTCAATGGCATGAAACCCGCACCATTAACGTGTGGGTTTTATGCCATTTGTAAATAATGGTGCGGCAACGTCGCGCGCATATCTATAGCGAGCGGCCATTTCACAACATACCAGTCAAGGCAGTGATCAGTAAAATTTCAAAGGGCAATTGATGACATTATTAGAAGTATGGCAATGTCAGAAGACAGATTTTAAAATGTATTTTAACCGACCAAAAGCTTCGCTTGCCTTCCAGCTTCACACAATGAAAGATGTATGAGTTTCTGTGTGTCCATGGTCTGGCCAAGTCTGTACAATATACTTTTGCAACAAGTGAGGTTCCACCATTTTTTAACAGAAAGGAGTTGAGGGCGGTGGTGACGCTGAGGACAACGAGGAGAATGAACCCGAAGATTTCAAAGGAGTCTTCACACGTTCCATGAGGAAATTGCAGCGACAAGTCCGGAGACGGCACAACCTCTACAGGAAGCGGCACAACGCCGAGCCCCTTGAAGCGGATGACGAGGTAAGCACTTTCACTGACAACGCCGCTACAGAATAATGTATGTAAGGCTGTAAGGGGCACTAATACCAAATTCTGAAGCTCACTTTACTGAGTCATTTCGATTTCTTGTAAACAGCGATCACTCTGAATAAACGTTAAGCTTAGTAAATGCTTATAAGACATTTTATTTCGATATATAAAATCATTCCTCGTATAGCGCACCAAATAATATCGGCGCTAGTATGACCTTACACTACGGTGTCAGTTGTGACTTCAGGCTACAGAAAGGCATCTTGTGACGACGCGAGATACCAAAACATCCAAAACGGCCGCTTGTGCGTCAACTATAGGGGAGCAGAGCGAAAATGAAAACGTCGGGTAGTGATATATTGCGGAAGCCTGTGACTAACTCCGCACTGTGCCATAGGGAGCCGTAGGATGCTTAAAAGCATGGCTTTTATATACGAGAGAGCTTTAAGTCGAGCTTAATATGGTGTTTCTGAGCATCCTTGCTGCGCATGTGCAACAGCTGGCCCAAGCACTGCTGTAGCGCGTCCTGGTCTGTGGAAGAGGCTGGATAAGTCGCTGTGGCCTCTCCCCCTTACACTCTCAGCAATTACGTGATGGCGTGAGGGAACAAAATTCTGCAGACGCACGATGACCCGATGTGGTCCCGCGTGGCTTGCTCCAACAAGAGTTCGGGACGAGTAAAGGTCACTGAAACTACAGAGAATTCATGGTGTGCTCCATTTGCAAGGACGCTTTGTAATCGGGCAAGGTGCCCGTTATGAATGGAACTTCAAGTCAACCCATGCAGGCTTCGCATGCTACTCATGGTTCCATCTAGGAGTAGGTGGTGTAGTAGATCTTTTTGAAGGAACACTCATGCTTACCGGTTGATTTTTGGAGTCTTGAGGTCTTGACCATTCATTCAATCAACTATTAATAAATAAATAAGTATATGTATATATATATATATATATATATTGTGGTAAAGCCTTTGAACAGTGGGTCATTTTCTTCAGCGCCTTCTAGTGGGTCGCCCTTTTCTTAAGAAGAAGAGCAGATCGTGCAGAGAGTCGATCCCCACATTGACTGTCGCTGTCGTGAATCATCGCTGAGTGTCCGTCAATAAACCGCTTAACAATTTGGTGGAGAGTGCTGTGCCCTTCAAACACCTTCGGTCAGCATTCGATGCCCTTGGAGCTTCGATCCCGTACCGTGCCTCCAACCATGTACCAAGACGCCGCCCAGCAAACGCTTCCTCCTACACCGACGCCATGTCCCGGTGTCCCCCGCATCCGCGACCCTCCTGTCTTCACCGGCGCGGATGGCACTGACGTCGAGGACTGGCTTGCCATGTACGAACGTGTGAGCGTCCCCAATCATTGGGATGAGGCAGCTAAACTCGGCAACCTGTTCTTCTACCTTGCGGGTGTGGCCGGAATGTGGTACAATAACCACGCATCTGATTTCCCGACCTGGTCCACTTTCAAAACCGCTGTCGTCGACGTGTTCGGCCGCCCTGCCGTTCGTAAGCTGCAAGCTGAACAGCGTTTACGTGAACGAGCCCAGCAGACCGGTGAGTCCTTCACAAGTTATATCGAGGACATCCTTGACTTGTGCAAGAAGGTCGACCTGAACATGTCAGAGGCTGACAAAATCACGCATGTTCTAAAAGGCATCGCCGACGATGCCTTCACCATGCTCCTGGCAAAGAACCCCCGCACTGTGGCAGAAGTCATCATGTTATGCCAAAGTTACGACGAGCTGCGGCGGCAGCGCTTGATGGCCAGTCGCCCGCCACCACGTGATGCTGATCTCTCGGCCTTGTCAGCAGTTCCAGACCACGCAACCTTGCTCGCCGAAATCAAGTCGTTCGTGCGTGAGGAAGTTGCCCGCCAGGTCTCTCTACTGGCTTTTGCTTCCCCACAACAAGCTCAACAGCCATCAAGTACACTTCCACCTCCGCTCCGCCGAGCCATTCAGCAGGAAATCGCGGAGGTCGTCCCTGAATACCACCAGCCACCTCCTGCATCTGTGCCACTCAGCTACGCCCAAGTTGTTGCCAGGCCGCCCCCACCGATTTCTGTCACTGTTCCGCTAAATTACACCGAAACCGTCGCGAGGCCCCAGGCCTTTGGAGAACCTGTCTCGCCTACATACGCCGGCGTCACCCACGTGCCCCGAGTGCCGCCTACCATGCACTCATATCAGCAGCCGGCTCGCCAATCGCGTTCTGCGACATGGATGCGACCAGCAAACCAATGGCGCACAGCTGATAATCGCCCCATCTGCTTTGCTTGCGGTTGCGTCGGTCATGTGGCACGATATTGCAATCGTGTGCAGCAACCGCAGGTCGCCTCCAACTTTCCCAGCCAGTCAAGCCGCACTTATGACCAACCGCCGCCTATGTCACCGTCGTCCCGCCCCGTTCCGTCTACCCGCCGTTCACCATCTCCACGACGTCGCTCACTGTCACCGATGCGGCCACGTCCACTCGAGGGCGACCCGGAAAACTAGTCGTCGCAGTCCACGAGGCAAGGGCTGCGACGCTGTCGAACTGCGGAAGCCCTCAGGAAAGCCCGTCGAACGTAATAGACGTGCTTGTGGATGGCGTTCGTGCATCTGCCCTTGTAGATACTGGAGCCGCCGTATCCGTGATGGACGAAAAACTTTGCCGATTACTGCACAAAGTGACCACGCCGCTTTGCGGGCTCTCCCTCCGTACAGCCAGCGCCCAAAGCATTCACCCTACAGCGATGTGCACAGCCCGCCTTATGATTCAGGACGTGATGTATGCGGTCGAATTCATCATAATTTCTTCATGCTCTCACGACGTCATCCTAGGATGAGATTTTCTCTCCCGCCACGACGCCGTCATTCATTGCGCACCAGCAGAAATAGAACTCGCGCCATTCTCTTCTTTGACGCCGGCCGACAGTCAATCCGCTGCAAGCAAGTTACTTGTCAGAGACGACACTCAAGTGCCTGCAAACTCGTCTGTTGCGGTGTCGCTCCACTGCGCAAGCCTTTCTGACACCGCTGCACTCCTCTCGCCATCTCATCGAGTTTTCATAAGAAAAAGCTTGCTGGTTCCTTTCGCGACCGTGCAACTCACTCACGGCAGCACCACTATTTTTGGTTTGAACTCATCTCCGTACAGCGTTACGTTGGTGCGAGGAGAATGTCTCGGCAGCGTGGAACCCATCGAAGACGCGCAAGTTATGGATGAACCTGATGACATGCACTGCCCAAGTTCCTGTACGCTTGGTGCTGTTTCGACATCTGCTTCATCATCCGATGATATATTCGGTCCCTGCATACCCGACGACCTTACGCAGGGCCAGCGTTCCCAGCTTTTGGGCCTGTTGGAAGAATTCCGCTCTTCTTTTGATGTCGCTCAACCTTCTCTCGGCCGCACATCCACCGTTACGCATCGCATCGACACAGGCGCACAGCCACCGCTGCGGCAACGTCCATATCGCGTATCTCCCACAGAACGCCGTGTAATCAACGAGCAAGTCGACGACATGCTTCGCCGCGATGTTATTCGCCCCTCTAGCAGCCCCTGGGCATCTCCTGTCGTTCTCGTCACGAAGAAGGACGGTTCTGTGCGGTTCTGTGTGGACTACCGACGCCTCAACAAGATCACTCGTAAGGACGTGTATCCACTACCGCGGGTAGATGACGCGATTGACAGCCTGCAAGGAGCAGAATTCTTTTCATCCCTCGATTTGCGCTCAGGGTACTGGCAAGTACCTATGGCGGAGGACGCTCGACCAAAGACCGCTTTTGTCACCCCTGACGGCTTTTACGAGTTTAACGTTATGCCATTTGGGCTGTGCAATGCGCCCGCCACCTTTGAGCGCATGATGGATACAGTTCTGCGTGACCTGAAATGGCACACGTGCCTGTGCTACCTCGATGACGTCGTCGTTTTCGCTCCTGACTTCTCGACGCACCTTCAACGCCTTCGGCATGTTTTAACGCGTCTGAGAAACGCCAGTCTGCAACTGAACCTAAAGAAGTGCCAATTTGCAGCTCGGCAGCTGACAATACTCGGCTACGTCGTGTCCAAGGACGGAATTCTCCCTGATCCAACCAAGCTTCGGGCCGTGACCGAGTTCCCCAAGCCGACATCCGTGAAGGAACTGCGCAGTTTCGTAGGACTGTGTTCCTACTTTCGGCGCTTCATTCGAAACTTCGCGACTATCATATCGCCGCTGACGAAGCTTCTCGGAAGTAACGGGCCTCTCCATTCGTGGTCATCACAGTGCGACGACGCTTTCAGAACACTTCGTCGTTTGTTGACGTCGCCTCCCATACTCCGCCACTACGACCCTACGGCCCCTACAGAGGTACACACGGATGCAAGTGGTGTCGGCCTCGGCGCTGTCCTTGCGCAGCGCAAACCAGGGTTCCCGGAATATGTCGTGGCGTACGCGAGCCGTACGCTTACTAAAGCCGAGACAAATTACACAGTCACCGAGAAAGAATGTTTGGCAATCGTCTGGGCCCTTGCAAAGTTCCGACCTTATTTGTATGGTCGCCCATTTGACGTCGTCACCGACCACCATGCACTATGCTGGTTGTCGTCATTGAAAGATCCCTCAGGCCGTCTCGCCCGGTGGGCACTTCGCCTGCAAGACTATGACATCCGCGTGCTGTACCGCAATGGAAGGCAACATGCTGACGCCGACGCCCTGTCGCGCTCTCCCTTGCCTGACGACAATGCCAACAACTCAGTGTCTCACCTTGCCATTTCTTCGATTAGCATTCATGTCATTGCTACTGAACAGCGCAAGGATCAATGGATTGCCTCACTGATAGACTTGCTGACTGATCCATCCACTCCATCCACTCGCGCGTTGCGTCGTCAAGCCCACCATTTCGCCGTTCGTGACGACCTCCTCCATCGACGCAATTACAATGGTGACGGCCGCCAGTGGCTACTAGTCATACCTCGCAGTCTGCGCTCTGATATATGCGAATTCTTTCATTCTGATCCGCAGTGTGCGCACTCCGGGGTATCGAAGACTTACCACCGCATTCGCCAACGGTACTTTTGGCGTGGCATGTACCGCTACGTGCAGAAATTCGTTCGCTCCTGCATAGAATGTCAGCGCCGCAAAACTTCAACGCACCTGTCGCCGGTAGGTTTGCAACCTCTACCTTGCCCTGGCAGGCCGTTTGGGCGCGTTGGCATCGATTTGTAAGGGCCACTTCCACTAACGTCGGCTGGTAACCGCTGGGCCATTGTTGCTGTGGACCACCTCACGCGATACGCCGAAACGGCCGCTCTTCCCGCGGCTACAGCGAGCGATGTGGCTTCCTTTCTGCTCCAACGATTCATTCTGCGACACGGCCCACCCCAGGAACTGCTCAGTGACCGAGGCCGTGTTTTCCTGTCTGAAGTCGTTCAAGCCATTCTCAAAGAGTGCAACGTTGTTCACCGCAAAACTGCTGCTTACCACCCGCAGACGAATGGCCTCACAGAACGCTTCAACCGTACGCTGGGCGACATGCTCTCCAAATACGTCGCCGCCGATCACACAAATTGGGATTCCATTCTACCCTTCGTCACCTACACATATAATACCGCCCCTCAGAGCACTACTGGCTTTTCACCTTTCTTTTTATTATATGGAAGGCACCCGTCACACACCATCGACACGATACTTCCGTACAGGCCAGATCCATCTGAGTGGGCACCTATTTCTGCTACAGCCAAGCTTGCTGAAGAATGTCGAGAGCTTGCAAAGGCCTTTACTGCGCATGATCAAGAGCGGCAAAAAAGCATTCGCGCTGACGCCAGTACTACTGCACCCACATTCCTCCCTGGAGCGCTCGTCTGGCTCTCGATCCCTACTACTGCAACTGGCCTATCTTCAAAACTATTGCCTAAATACGAAGGCCCCTACCGTGTCGTCAAATGCACTTCCCCAGTCAACTACTTCATTGAACCCATCGAACAATCTTCGGACATGCGTCGTCGAGGACGCGACATTGTTAACGTGGAGCGCCTCAAGGCCTACCATGATCCGCTCATTGTAACCAGCTGTTAGGTCGCCAGGTGGCTCCCTTTTCGTACCCGGGGTAGTTGTGGTAAAGCCTTTGAACAGTGGGTCATCCTCTTCAGCGCCTTCTAGTGGGTCGCCCTTTTCTTAAGAAGAAGAGCAGCTCGTGCAGAGAGTCGATCCCCACATTGACTGTCGCTGTCTTGAATCATCGCTGAGTGTCCGTCAATAAACCGCTTAACAATATATATATATATATATATATATATATATATATATATATATATATATATATATATATATTTGTGTCATTACACCACCACGCTGCCGCAGTCCGTGTGTCTAGTACATCCGGGCACAGGGGTGAAGCCAGGGAGTAGCATAGCAGACGAGGCCAGTGCCCCCAGTCACCGCAAATTTTTTTCCACATGGCATAGACAGTGAAAAATGACCATGTCAAGCTACGCGTCCGACCAGAAATCAAGAAGGTGCCCTTCCCGGGAAAAATTCCAACTACGCGCCTGTCGAAGCAACGACAAAGCGAAACAGTCGGAAGGTGTTAGACGTGTATGTCTAATTCAATCTCTACATCATATATAGATAACGGAAACGAGAAAGCATGGCATACGTCGACCCATCCTTAATATTAACAAACGTTTCGGATGGTGCGCCAACATTCGTCAGGTGGGCGAGCCTTCCCACTAACGAAAGCTGGTCCACCAGCAGCAACGCTTGTGACTATTAAAAGTGTTTCGACATACGTCGTGTTTCTCGCTCCCGTTTCACTTTGGAGCTAGTGTTCTTTTTTCGCCGCTACGCTATATCGGGAAAACTTATTCAAAAGTATTTTACAGTTCGATGTGCATAAAGGTTCACTTTATGGTCGTTCAGGGTACACGGGCTAGTCAGCTCGAGACATCCTAAACTAGAAGTAATAAAGAAGGGGCATGCCGTTTGTTGCTTCTTTCTGCCAAGGTGACTACTGGAGGACCTCGTACGACATATGGATTGGCCACATGACTAATTTCTCTTTTAAGATTTTGTTGTGGCCATTTTTTGCTGCATTTTTTTAAAGGTTGCCTGTATTGGCTCTCCTCAGCTAGTTATTGCTTAACATCTAGTTTCTTTTCGAGGCTGCTCAGTGGCTATCGCGGTCTTAACGCAAGTTAGGAAAACCCCACGATCACATAAAGGGAACGAAAAACGAAGGGCAATATGTCATAGGGGATAATATGAGCAGTTTAGAGCATAAATACAGCTGCGGTGTTTCTGCTCATTGTGTCTTACAAAATTAAAAGCCATTGATCGATCGCCCTTCAAGCTCTATGAAGTTCCAATAGTTTAAGGCAACTTTTGTCCTCTCAGCTATGCGCTCTGTATATTGGCATTCGAATTGAGGCTGGGGTACCTTTCTAATAAAGTAATCAAAGAAAAGTGCTGTGGAAGAAGCCCGCCACTATAAGTTATTTAAACCCACTCTCATGGAGAGACAAAATTGAGTTGGTTGCCACGATGGTGGCAGTGTGGTATTTCTCTTCCTCTATATTTCAGTTTGGAACAAAGGTGTCGTTATCGAAAATGATAATTAGGAATAGAGACTAGTTCATCCCTGAAGCCAATGAGGTTAGGCGCGGTATCAACCACCACAGATGGCAATAGGAGTAGCGGAAGTGGACGCTAGTACACTCCTCGCGTGGATCGCGTTTAAGCAGAAAGACTAACGAAAACCACAAAAGCGCATTTTCGAACTCCACGTGACTTGTTCATAAAGCATTCCTTCTAGATACATATTTCTGTTGCCGTGGTGCATTTTCCAGCTGGACCGCTACGCTCAAGCCTGGGCTTATTACTTGGCGAAAATTGGCAAAGTGATGCACAGGAGGTCAAGGACATACGGCGAGAATATTTACCAGGGATATTATGATGACAATCACCCTATAAGAGGTAAGCACAACTTATGTATGACCCAGGTTGTAACTTTGTGTTTGTGTGAACACAACTCTGTCATGTAGAACTTTAATGAAGAAAAAGACCACGCAGTGCTTTGTCTATTTGCCAAAGATGACTGGAATATTAAAGTATTCTTCCTTTTCTTCTTTTTTGTCATACTCTACTTTACTGACCCTCCCCTGAAAGCATTTTGAACCTGCCTTTGTTTTGCATAATCTCCATGATCGGGCTGCGTTTGACCAAGCAAGAACTGTTTGGCATGACGTCACAACTAAATTGTCCACTCTTATGATCTGTGGTAAGAATATGCCAAACAGTGACGTGGCTGATGGCGTCATGTTGCGTTGAGATTGTGTCACCTTTCGGGCGCTGAAAGTCACGCGCGCTAATTCCACGCACCTATTCATTTGAGTATTGGGTTAGTTTTTACGAACATTTCTACTCACTTGATTTTCCATTATTCATGTTGACGCTGAAAAGATGTTGAAAATCTCAACAGCTCACACCTAAATTCAGAGAGTTCTTTCTCCAGGAGATGTATAAGCCTGTCACCTTAATAATGACTTGAGAAATGAGTGCATCTCTAGAGTAATGCGAGAGAACTGGTTTGATACAGTCGTACTGCCGTATTTTTGTGCTGTGTTTCTTCAACTCACGTTTTATTCGTCTCAGAGTCTTGTTCATTCTCACGTGTAGCTCCGTAGACAGTGTGGATTCTTTAGTTACCTTCTGGCCATGCCAATGACCACTAGCTGACCACGACACCTGGACACTAGCAACAAATGCTAGTCTGCTAGAAGTCTCTTCATCGTTCCTTCTTACTCACTACGCTAACTTTCTTTTTTGTCCACGTTCTAAACTTTCCGAATTGCCGTGCTCTTCGTCTTTTGGTAAATCAATGAATAAACAAATTAAAAATTATTCTAATAAGACGCCAATGGGGGCTAACTGGTACGTCGCCACTTGTGTTTGTGACACGCTGCAGATTACGAAAAAAAAAAACAAGAGATGACGCAGAGTGATGCGCAATCTCTGTGTCACCTCTTGCTTTTTTATACCCTGCAGCGCATCACAAGCATGCATAAACAAATCAATTTTTGTAAATTTCCTGCACATTCAAGGCCAAGCTAGAAGAAAAAATTGTGTTCTTGTTTCTATGTTTTACATATAAAAATTAAAATAGGGTATACAAAACTTCATTAGGGGATAGAAAAATAAACTCCCAGTCATAATGCTGCTTTTGTTCTATTTGGTGCGAACCTGGTGATGAAGCTGAATGGCATGTTTATGTTGGTATTTTTGGCTAAAAATGTGGCTCTTTTTGAAACCCGCCTCACGCAATCCTTCTTAGCACTGTTATTTCTTATATGAATATAAGGTTACAGTAACGGCCTTTCAGAATGCTGGCTCACAGTATCAAAGTCATGATATCATCCTAAAGAGCAATGAGACCAAGGATGCTAACAATAGTAGCAGCAGATGTGACGCGGTATAAGCAGCGCCGAACGTCAAGTGTTGTGTGGCCGGCTTCCATGAAACCGGCGCTTCCGCATTCAATCTACTCAACGGTCACTTTAAGCTACACTCTATACAATCTTCACATTCTGTTTCTTCTTAACGCAGTTAGGGTGCGCTTGTCATGTACATGTGTGTTTACCAGTTCCGATTTTTCATACAGGAAGGGACGCTGTGGACACCTGGTACAATGAAATCAACTTGTACGACTTCAACAAGAACCACCGACAACGGGGCACGAGAGAATTCACACAGATGATTTGGAAGAAGACCTCCGCCTTGGGTACCGGCATCGCTCGTGGGAAAAACAGGACCTACTTCTTGGTGACGGTCTACGATCCCAGAGGTAACATACGAGGAAAGTACACCAAGAACGTCGGCAGACCTAACGAGCAGCCCCAACAGCCGTGGCCAGTACCTGAGCCAGTGCCAACACCAGCACCAACACCAGCACCAACACCAGCGCCAGCGCCAGTGCCTATTCCAGCACCTCAACCAGTACCAACACCACCGCATGCGCAAATACCCACAATTGGTCGAGGAGGAGGAGGAGTAACAATTAATGGGCAGAACGCAGCCGGCAATCCGCTTTTAAAGCTAAAGGGATGCCCCGGTAATAAGCCAATAACTTTAAAACTTAGGGTAGGACCCAACTAACGAGATAATGGTATTTACTTGCAATACATGAGTTCGGATCGAATATACACTGCCAATTTTTATGAAAGCGAACACGCTAAGGCGTAGCCCGCGCGCTTCTGCGGCTGCTTGCAACGCATTCAAGCTGGAGCGTGAGCAAGCATAGCCTCTTTCTGCGTCATCTAGTGGCCAGAAAACAACCAGTCACTGGTGATATTGCTGGCCACTGGTTTCAAATAACCAATGACTGGTTGTTCTGCCCACCACTAGATGACGTGGGAAGAGGATGTGCGTGCGTTCGCTCCGCTTGAACGCGTTGCAAGCAGCCGCAGAAAAGCGCGGGCCACGCACCAGCGTGTTCCCTCTCATAGAAATTCCCACTGTATATGACTGCTTGCCGAAATGCGCATAAATCTTGACAATGGCAAGAGAACTATGCTTATTTTTCCTGTTAGGTGCACACTTTGAGCCAGATATTCGATGCAGCGCAAGATTAAATTTTGAATGCCCTGCCTGATGTCAAATAAAGCTGAAGTTTATTGGTCAACGTAGAGTTTACGAGCCGTTTTGCAAATACTTTGGTGTGGCTGGTCAAAGCTATGCGACTGGCGAAAAGTTATTTTCCGAGCATATTCCACCCTTTCTCCTCTCGGCAAATCGTTTTTCTGTGTGCTTTTAATAAAACGATGTACTGGAGCTACGTTTTCGCTTATTCACTTTTTATGACCAAGGTCGTTTCATGTACTTGCGTTTCAATGCGTTTGACTGAAACGTTTCATCGTTACATTGTATGACTAGAAACAGCGAAGAAAATAGAGGAAAGGGTCATACACTTTCTTTTGCATTTGCCTGAGATAACTAGAAGGCAACGACCAGCGTTTTTTTGCTTTTTTTACTCAGAATTCGGGGGTGTTCATCACCCCCTAATTTTTAACGTCAGGGTTCTCAATCTTGTAAATTTTCAATCTTGAATGTTTCGACACACACTCACTGTTTTTATACTAGCTTGAATACTTCCTCTACTAATCAGAACTAAAATTGGGCTCTTATTTCAGGACTTTAGCTTTTCTATTTGCGCAAAAATACCAAGTCTTTTTCCAAATTTAATCGCTTGCTGTGAACATGGTCGAAAAACTTGCCGAAAACTATTCAATCATTAGTCACTTCACTGTCTCGTTGCTCGCGGGGATAAATTTCTTCAATGTGGCCCGTTAAGTCAGGTGAGGTTGGGATCCTGTTCTAATGTATTGCTATAGTAGCGAAAAATGGCCCCCAGGTCCGCGAAGGCAATTGTGATGAAATGCGAACGCCTTTCTTGCGCAGTGATTTGTTACCGTTGCCGTCAGACATTTGCCTACATCGACTTCTGCCATCGTACTCAGAGGCGCCCAGCCAGTGAACGGTCGAGCGTACGAAGTGAACGAACGGGAGATTGGGGCGCAGAGAGCAGATAGAGTGAATGGCGAGAGAAGGAGTGGTGAAGCACGGCACCTATCTTCTGATACAATCTCTCGCACCACATGCTTCGGTTGCTAGGGGCGAGAATAAGCGCACGCGACTACAGCTGTTGCTATGGAGAGAAAACGAAAGTGGAAATAGAACACCTGCCGGCGCGTGGACAACGCAAGATGCCTGACATAGCCCAAATAAGAGATGCATTTGTATTCAAAGCTCCCGGAGCAACAGGACTCCTGAGGCTTATCGTTTTGTTTCTTTGTGTTTGTTTATACCAGCTTCATGTTACATTTGTTGGAAAAACATCGAAGACGATGATGACAATGTGTTCTGGCCTTAGAATCACGTGCTGAAGCAGCAACTCACTGAGTCGGGTAGCGGTTTATTGTAAATTATCCCCTTTTCTTCTCAACAGAAGGCTAAATTTTCTTCAAGTGATTCTGAACCTCCTAATGTTTCCTGTGACAATTTAAATTTTGAGCAAAGTGCTCAATAATTAAACAGCTGCTCAACACATTGACGCAACATGGAAGCTCTCAAACTGAAGCGTAATTTTGAAAGAGTACAGTTAAGGCGCGTTATAAACAAGGCAGAAGCAACGCTCACACATGAAAGTGTTACGAAAGAAAAGCTTTGTGTTTTCAAGGAATGCCTCAAAGAGCTTCATACCGACTTGAAGGCCACTGACTCCGGCATTGTCTTTCTGCTATCAACCACAAAAGCGGAAGCGGAGTTTGATCAGGTTGTGGAATACAATAATCGAGCCACAACCACGTCTGTGAAGCTGAAGTATAAGCTACGCCAACTTCTAAATATTCAGAGCCATGCACTACCGGCAAAACCTACTGAACCCGTATCACGCACGCCCCAACCCGCTATCCAACTTCCGATAATTGACTTCATGAAGCTTGATGGCCCACCTTTAATGCGGACGCCTTTTTGCGAACAGTTTAGTCAACTGATTTACAACAACGATGTGCTCATCGACGTGGGCCATTTCACCTATCCACGTTTGGTTCTGACGGGCACCGCTGCATCGGCTATCGCCGTACTGCCAGCTATGGCGAGTTGCTCTTCAGAAGTCCTGCACAATTAACGCTTTCCGAAGTCCTACTTGATCATTCAGGCTCACATGCAGTGATTCATTGACATGCGACCCGAGTAGTCCTCTAACATTCTTAGAGGACTTTCATACCTCAACGACACGGTCTGATCCCAGACGCGTGTGCTCAAGACTCTAGGAGTATCGGAGGGCAATAACTCCGCGACGTTTTACCCCATCGTGCTAAATTCGCTACCTCACGACGTCGTCCTCGACTTCAACGAGACCATCAAATGCCAACGTATGACGTACACAGGCCAGGAACTGCAGCCCAGACACGGAAAGGGAGGATTCAATTTTCGCTGTTTCTATTCAAGCAGAAATAGTGGCTCGAGAGCAAATGGCCCCGCACGTTTCTTCAAAAGAGTATCCATCCAAAAGCCGAGTTAAAGATTCTCGCACTATCGTGGCATCTTCTTCGCGGCATGAATCAACCACGGAGTGTTTCATCACATTCGTGAAACCAGCTCCTCAGAGGAACTCCTGCTTTTTCTGTGGTTCAGCTAGGCATCACACCAAGCACTGCGACAATTTAATGCCACCAGAAGACAGGAAAAAGCGCCTACTAGTGGCCGGTCACTGCTTCTGCGGCCCCATATGGCATCATATGGCACAATATTGTAGGATAAAGGTCAAATGGGCAAAGTACAATCAACGCCATATGGATACAATGTGAGACCTACGGATGATGAAATCAACTACAGATTTTGAAACGTTATAAAAATGAGTAGAACGTAATATGATTACTTTCAAAGCCGGCTGTCCAAGCCACAGCAGTTTAGAGGTATACGCTAGGTTTAGAGTTTTTAGTTTCAATCATCTCGCTAGGTCGAGCTTTATTCGAGGGAGGCAGTCAGCGCAGTTTCATGACGAAGCGACTGGCTGAAAAATTGCTTTCTCAATTCTTCAGTCATGATAGCCTTTAAGTGGGCTATTTTGGAGTTCGACATGACGACAAAGCCTTCCCACGTGTGTTTGTAACCTTGACTCCAGTACGTGGCTGCAAGTCACAGCCGATAGGAGCTGTCATCACGACGATGATAAGCCATCAGTTCACCTCATGACCGACAAGAGACTTCACCGACGAGTTCAGACACCAAGGACTTTAATTTTCTGGCATTGACAAAGCTGAGAGTCCAAACGCTATTGACATCTTGATCAGTTGTGACTGTTACAGGTTTTTTGCCTCTCGAACCATCAACAATTTAGAAAACGAACTGAAAGCAGTCGTGACTGTCTAGGCTGGATGCTATATGGAGCAGCAACGTTTTGCACTTCGGCAAGGCATTGCAACGTGATCATCATACTGAAAGCAGAATTGATGGTCTGTATGGAAACAACAGAAAATTACGCGGACTTAGAAGCCATGAACAAGAAATCCGAGAAACATAAGAACACCCACAAAGAAGAGCCAGAAGCTGCTTCTGTCGAAAAGGCGTCCCAAGAGGGGTCACAAACCAACGAGATATCACATGCCTTTGTGAAGTTGCACAATGGGGATTCAGACGAGCCACATGTTATTGAAATGAAGTCTACGCCACCCCCACAGTTTGATCTTACTAATGTGACAAATGTACTGAAGGCCTTAAGACTGGTACGACACACTGACAGTGCCGTATTATGGTTTAGTGTAATAAACGCTACGAAATTAATTCAGCGAAAGGCCGAAAATGAACGCTACATCCTGCCGACCACATCTCCTTTACGCTACTTACGTGACAGGTTGAAATGCTCCTCAGAAACCCATATAACAGAAGAATGGTGACTTGCTAACAAGAGAAGCATCTACCCAGGAACGGTGGACATGACTCGGATGGCTGACCTGCGAATAGAATGAGTGGTCACGTCACCTTATCTTCACCAACTCTACCAACCGTGCTACAGTTTGGTTATGACGACGTGCTTTGAAAGTGATGTGGATAAAGCGCGTCTAAGTCAGCCTGAAGCACTAAGACAAGCGGAACTGATAAGAAAAGATCTTGGCCTGCCGAAACTATTGTCGCACGGGCCGTTCGACATATATATGTGCCCACTAGAACCAAACTTTTTCGAGAACTTCCGCGCAGGGAGTTTATTGAAAAAATATCAAAGACGATGAATACGATGAGTTCTGGCCCTCGAATCACGCGCTGCAGACACCAACTGACTCAAGTCAAGTTGAGGATCTTGACTTGACTTGAGTCGGGTGGTGGTTTCTTGTTCTTGTTCACCTATGGTCCGTGGCGCACGCCCACTGTGGGGGATTGGCCAAGAATTGAGTGGTTTTATAAAATATTGTGTAGTTTTAGACTAGTGGATATATATAATCGGAAGATTACCGACGACCTAGGAAATTGTGGTGCTTGATCTAATGCATATAATATTTTAAATAAATAAATTTAGTCCTAAAGTAGAAGAATACTGAGTTTTATGCGTATATATTCTTGTAGACACGTTAAAATAATAACAGATTAATTAGTCAACCTATAATAACTTGACAGTATAGTCCTCAATCGCCGCGCATACTGTCGCACTAGAGAACCCAGAACTGGAAGCTCTAAAAGACAAAATGAAACGCAGAGATGAATCCATACCAATACCACATAAAGGTATTTATGAAAAGGCATTTGCGTATTGTTTTACGTCAGCATCAGGTTAAAAGAAATTATATATTGTTTCAAGTTCATTACAAAACGCACACAGTGGCGAAGGTGCCTAAGCAGACTAGTGTTTTTAGAAATTCAGATTTGGTACCAAGGAACGCAGCCTTACGATAGCTATTTCTTGGTTACGATTTCGGCAAAAGGCTCTTCACCAGAGATATATTAAATGGCGATATTGGTAGAGTTTGTTAGTGCTGTACCTCTAAAGACTTCCATAAGCGTACATTGCGGAATCGAGCAGCAGTCGCATAAGCAGATGATGGAAAGTGCGGTAGAATCGGTCCGCTCATCGACGACTTAGCTAAGGAATCGGCTATTGCATTTAGAAATAAGCTTTTGTGTGTAGGCACCCACACTAATCGGACTTTTCTCAAATGCGCAGGCACTCGTGCAGAAAACGTATTTGTTACTTGGTGGTCAGCACCAACAGAAAGTACCTCAAGGGTAGTTAGTTATTATAACAGGTGATGCAATAGCCGTATGCAAATTGCGTAAGG